GCTTGCCCTGGGTCCATTCAGTCCCTCGTCGGGACCCTGCTTTTGGGGTGCTAGGAACTAAGGGCAACTGAGTCAAGAAAGCAGATGCCCAGGAATGAATATTATTCAGAGTCAATTAACTCCCAAGTTACAAAATCACAAATCATCCTGTTATTCGTCGATTGCCTCCAGCAGGCCCCAGTAACGTCTCCTTCATCCTAGCCCTGAGATTATATTCAAGGCTCCTTAGGAGAATGAGACCCATCATTGTTACTGGTATTTGGCATATTGGGTACGCCACAGGGAGTTTGCCAGACTCTGCCGTGTGGGCAGGCTACATTTGGTAGCCTGCCAGTTTGTCCAAAGTAGGAATGAGATAATGAGATGTCATAATAAGATGTCGCGCAGTTCCAGGAGCTGGTTTTTATAGTCTCTGAGTCTTGGCCGCTGATGGGATTACACGGCGCCAGGGGGCCAGTTGGTGGGCATGACCCCCGCCTACTGGAAAGTTACAAAAACATAATATTGTCTTCCTGTGTCCATACAGAAAGGACATTGCTTTAAGGTAAACTGTGCAAAAGACATAACTTACAAGTTCAGTGTCCTCCTTCAGAAGAATCTGACCTTACACGCTAACAGAATCTGATTAGGGAAAAGGGTGATTTACTGGTTGGGGAAGAAAGCACAGAGAAGAGTTTACAGATAAACAAAGGAATGGGAGCACTGTGATGGGTGTAACCCGATTAAACCTAAGCTCCCTGTGGCAAGGGAGAAAGGACAAACCATTGCTATCCTAAAGAAGCCCCCATTGCTTCATCAGGTATGGCCAGGGGTGGTCCCTGGGCCCCCAAAGCGAGCCCTGCAACCATGCCCGTCCCCAACCCCCGCCCCAACCACCACCACCACCAAATCGGAATTTTCCATTCATCCATCCTAGGTCCAGCTCGAGTGGGGATTTTTTGGTGTGTGGTTTTTATTTTGGGGTGGTGCCCAGGGGTCACTCTTAGCTCTATACTCAGGAATCACTCCTGGCAGACTTGGGGAGCCATATGGGATGCTGAGAACCAAACCTGGGCTGCAGGGCTAATGCTGCACCCACTGTACTATCTCTCTGGAACCCTTGAGTAGCTATTCTATTGGGGGGAGTGGGGGACGAGAATTGAGGGGGGCCACGCCCAGCAGTGTTCAGGGTTTACTCCTGGTTCTATACTCGGGTCACTGCTCACGGGGCTCACAGGGCCATATGTGGTATGAGGATCAAACATAGGTCACCTATGTGCAGGGCAATTCCTCTACCTGCTGTACTACCTCACAAGCCCCCATTGAGTAGGGAGCATTTTAATGTTTTAATTTCTCTTCTGTGAAATTAAGCTTTTTGACACCAGTTTCAAGAATGTGGAAACTACTAGGACAGGTATTGAAGACTGTTGTTCCTGAAATTCCTTAGAACTTAGAAAAGCAAACTTCCTTAGAATTTGAACATTTCATGTGGCTGATTGGGGGCTGGAGCATAGCAGTAGGGCGTTTGCCTTGCACCCTGCCGGCCCAGCCGACCCAGGTCCAATTTCTCCGCCCCTCTCCAAGAGCCCAGCAAGCTACCGAGAGTATCTCGCCCACACGGCAAAGCCTGGCCAGCTACCCGTGACGTATTCGATATGCCAAACACAGTAACAAGTCTCATGATGGAGACGTTACTGGGCCTGCTCGAGCAAAATCGATGAACAACAGGACAGTGCTACAGATTTATAAAAATATGGGCCATCCATTTTGCAGGCTTGTAAGTTTTTAAGATCTTGGTTCCCAAAATGTAATCCAGCAGCCATAGAAGGGAGTCTTGGGGCTGGGGGTGTGGCTCAGTGAGCGAGCCTCACTTGGTTGACCCCCAGCACTGTGTCAAAGGGCCAGAGATAGTGCAATGGGCAAGGCGCTTTCTTGCCTGTGAGCGGCCAACAAGGTCTGCTCCCTCTCAGGTCCCCTGAAGCACTGCCAAGAGTGATCCCTGAGCACAGACCATGTGGCCCCAACCGCCCACCCCCCCAACCACCACCACCACCAAATAGGGGTCAGAATTCCTGTGGTCCTTGCAGAGAGTTCATATGGATGCAGTTCAGACTAATTCTCCTTTAACACCAAAACTAATTTACTAACTAACACTTGTCTTTCTTCTCTGGCAGAGTTGAGGGTAAATCTGGGGCCTCTGAGGGACCCCTTAAAGGGGCTGTCCATGAGGACCTCTTGGTACTAAGCACCAGGCCTAGTCCTCTTATGCCCAAGTGCACACTCATGACCAAAGGAATAAATGACAGATGAACTTGGCAAAGCGGTCGGTGTAGACTTTTGGAGCAAACCCAAGGGTACTCAGGGCTGACACTCTTGGCCATGCTTGGGGGGACCCTATGTGGCTCCATGTGTGAAATTCGGGTCACCTGTATGCTGGGTGCCTTACCTGCTGTCCTCTCAGCGCCCAATAGTAGGACTTACAGAGTATGTTAGCCAAGAGGATAATCATGTGTCTTCAAAGTGATTGTCAAGATTTTAAAACAACTTGCAGAAAATTTGAAGTATTTAAGTGTGTATGTGTAAATAATCTTTCATTTTCCTCAGAGATTCCTTCAGTCGAATGAGCCTACGCAAAATGGATCTTTAAAATAAAAGCACTTGTTCGCTTCGTTTGAAAAGAGCCATGTATTCAACCGGAGTGTGAAGATCTGCTGAAACTAAGACTTGGGACTCATTTCTGGGAAGTGTAGCACTAATAGTCACTGAAGAATGCAGAGGCTGAAACTGTCCACACATAGTGTGTTGACATGAGAATCATGGCTGTGGTTTCTATATGTGCTGGTATATGCTGTGTTTTTTTTAAGACACAATGACTCAAAGGTACACTATACATTTACCTTATTTATAACATAGCTAATGTTATTTACCTTAAGTTTGTATTTTTTAATTTATAGTATCATTTATAGAATCATTTTGGAACCATTTTAAATGTAGTAATGCAATTATTTTAAAGGTACTATTAAACATGTGGACGTTTACACTAATTTTACTGAGTGGGACTTCAACCATTTTTGACAAAGATTAGAAAGTTAAGAATTGACTCAGAGCTCAGTAAAATGAAAACAAAATTGATCGTTGCTTAAGGGCCTGCAGAAGAGCCAAAATTAAGGTTAAGGGGTGAAGATACTGATGTCTTGTTTGTGACGGCTGAAAACTGGCTCCTGGTTTCTATTTGGACACCAAAAACCGTAAATTAAAATTCAGGGTAAGTGTACGTAGTAAAACTCAATACTGGGACAGCAATACCAGTGATGGCAGGTTGATGTGTGACTCTCATCACTCCCAGCAGCAAAAATGAATTCTTGTTTCCGACTTAAGCCAGTCATCAATTTAGTTTAGATCTAAACTAAGCTGGTTAAGGTGTTAAGATCTAAACTAAGCTGATAATTAACAGTAGAGCTCTGACATCACTATAAAAGTCAACAGAACTGGCATTTACTTTTAATCTGCCAGTTGAATGGGAAGTTATTTTCAGATACTTGTATGGATTTATAAAGTACATGTAAAAACGTAAAATTAGCTGTTTTAGTTGTAATAAAGAATTTTTAATTATAAACTGGTAAAATTTCGCAGAATTTTTCAAAAATATCTTTCAGTAAATTTGTCTTTCCAAGTGCTTACTGATTTGTGTAGGATCATAGCTGAAAGACCATCGAGCCTACCCCTTTGTCTTACTGAGCAGTGAAGTCACAGGAATCAAATCTAACTGTACAGATCAATTCTTGAAGATCTGGAAAACGTCTCCTGATAAAAGTTTTCTATCTTCCCCTGCCACCTACCTTTATAATGGTTAACAGCATCTCCATTCTTACGCAGAAATTAAAAAACTAAATCCCCCAAAGGGTTTTCAGATTAGTCTTCACAGCTGGACCAAAAATTCTTATATAGCAATTCTCCCCATTCCCCTTTTATTTATAATACTCCAACTCAGTGAAAAACCAGCATAACCTTTAAAAATGTTTCTGGGGAAGATGAGGATCCAGTAAAGTGACAACAGGGAACATAAGATACTTTCAAGATGAGTAGAGAATACAGAGACGTTATTTTCCTCAGATCACTTCGCATTTGGGTACATCTTTGTTGGTAGAAATATACTTGCTTTGTAAGTGGAAGGCCCCAGAGTTAACTCTCAAAACAAACCCCCCAAAAAATAAGATTAGCTCCTGACTTAATTATCATACAATTATGAGTCAGAAGAGGTTTTACCCATTTAATGAAGCGCTAGTATGATACTAAATACCTCTTAACTTTTTACATACTTCGGCTTTCTTAGAACAATCTCTGTCTTATTAAGTTAACCTTTAAGAGGCCCAAGCTCTATTCAGCCTACACGGCTTCATTTAGCTTGAGTCTGTGTTCAGGGCTAGTCGTATTTAAAATTTCGATCAGTGATTCCTATACTCCAAGATTACATAATTAGTCACTGGGGTCACTTCTTTTAAGAAAATGTAAAACAAACTAATGTATTGACTGGTAATCTACTGAAATGGGTGATGAATGACTGGTAATCTACTGAAATGGGAGATGAATAATTACTCTTCACAGCACTTTTATGTTCCTTAGGAATCTTTTTAAGTCTTAATACCAAAAATATCTCAAGTTATTTATAAGCCTTCCATTTTAAAATGAAGTTTAATCCAGTTATGTCCGCCTAAAACAACATCTTAAATTCTCCAGCTTAGGATTCCAGAGAGTTATGTATCTGCTTTAAAGCAGTAAGTATGTCATACAGCTTTTACTGTAAAATTACTTAGGGAAAATTAAGTATTATTCCATTTGAAAATTACTACAACCTCCACTGTCATGAGTATTATTAAAGATAATTGTGCATGCTTAGACGTGTATATATAATACATATTGTGTATGTAATCATATGTATTATATGTATACATATCCTGTTCCCCACCTACGTTTATAGTAAAAATATGGAAGTAAAAAATAATTCAAGCATTGTGTACATATTTGCTAAGCAGTTTAAGTTTTATTAACCTCCCGGTTTAAAAAAAAAAAAGTTAAATTTTAGATCACACCTCTAGGTTTGATGTAATATATACAGAACGTGCAGAGTATGACTATGAAGAAATACAAATTATTCCATGCCCAAAAAAGATTTACTACAGAATCATCTTCATAAATACATATAAAATTCTTGGGAAGACAGAAAGGGACTGTCTGTTTTTTGAGACACTTTTTAAAGTGATTCAAAGGCATAAAATACACATAGTCCAGACTTTGCCCCTAAACAGCCCATTAAAAGATTTTGCTTCATGACTTTTTATAAAACTATACTGAAATGAGATTCTGCTTAGTTGAAAAACCACAGGACCTATAAACATCATATAATTACTCCAAAATTTGGAGATACAAATACAAGCACTTTATTTTAAAAAGCGAACAAAATATAGGTGTAGATTCAAAGTGTTTAAATGCGTCCCTTTTTTGGGGTTTCAACTAAGAACTTATACAAGTTTGTTCCCAGAAGCTAATGCATCACTAGTCTCTAAGAAAAATGAATTCTAGAATTAACATGGTTTTCAGTTAAATTTCACTATATAAAAACCTAGAGACCAATAATATCCAATAGCTTCAAAAAGATAAGCTAAAGATAGATGTAATCAACTTTACCTTTGTCCAGATCTGTTTAATATATACACAGGAAAATACACTCTATAATTTTTTATAAAATAACAAGTAAGGAGTAGATGTAGGAGATGTGGACGGGGAAAGGGAATTGAGGAAGTCCTTCTCTTCAGTAACCTTCACTTCCGAGTCATCAAAGAGCAACCACTTCCCCTCATACTCCTTTAAGCTTTGCACTACGTATGAAATTTTGTTCTCAAATCCACTAATGTTAATGCCTGTCTGGTCAATGGCTTCCTTGTTTCTATCGGATTCATGCATCCCATTAGTACTGTTAGTCTCAGAATTTCTACTTTCACCAAATGCTGTACTGGCAAATTTATCAGGATTAGATGCCTTGTTGTATAGCTCATAATCCGCTTTGCTCTTTTGTCCTCCAAGAAGTCCGACAGCTTCTACATTTTTTTTGTTCAAAACTTTAGTTGGCTGTGTATTTCCACTAACTCTAATCGATACTTCTTCATCGTCATAATTTTCTGCCACACCCCTTGCTTCCTCCTCATTCAATGGTTCTGGCTTACCTATTTCACACATCTGGTCAACCACAAAATTCCCCTTATCTAGTTCTAAGCTGTTAAGGTCAGTGACTTTAACGGAAGCAGTGTAATGCCCACTACTGATTGTGATGCCACTGTGCATCACGACTGCAAATAATCCATAGCTGTCGTTGGTTGGCTTTGTACTCCATTCTTCTAGTGACAACTTGAGCGGAGTCAGCAAAGGAGTGTTGATCTTGGAAAGTCCACCACCATAACAATCAAACCTTCGGGAGGAAAAAGAAAACCCAGTTTTCTGCAACTCCACTTGAAATATGTTCAGTTTTACACTCAACATGACAACAACTAAGTCTAAATGAACTCTTAATATTTAGTGCTCATGTGAATAAACAAAACCAAAAGATGCCAACTTTAAAATATCCATACAAGGGGCTGGAGCACAGCGGGTAGAGCTTTTGCCATGCACACAGCCGTCCCAGTTCAATCCCCAGCATCCCATAGGGTCCCCCGAGCGCCACCAGGAGTAACACCCGAGTGCAGTGCCAAAACCCCTGAGCATCACTGGGTATGACCCAAAAAGCAAACAAAAACTTAAAATATCCATACAAAAGAGCAAAATTACTGCTAATAATTCATATTTTTCCATGAAGTCTTTCCCTCTTCATTTCCCTAATTTTGTACAGTAATGACATTAAACACTTCAAATGGGCATCTTTCATCTCTACTGAGACCTGGGGATAAAATAAAGTAGTGGCGCCAGGGACAGTCAAAGGATAGGAGTTCGCGTTCTGAATGTGCAAGGGACCGAGTTCCAACCCCAGACACTGCATGATCCCCAAGTAGCCCCTCAGCACTGCCAGGGTGCATCCCTCCCCATCTCACCCGAAAAACACAAAGAAAAATCTGCACTATGGTAAATATCAGAAAGCCAGAAGCAACCCAAAATATGATTGGCATTTTTGCACCTATCACTGGGCGGGGGAGGCAGGGATGACGTCCAGGGCTCTAACATGCAAAGTATACACAGGCCTGAGCCATCCTCTGTCAAAGTAATTTTTAAAAATAGCTTTCAGATAATTCAACTTTCAATTATATTACAAAATCTCTTAAACTGTTCTTTTATTTCCTGGGTTATCCCAAAACTAAAATAATTTTGTCTTTTCATTCCTTAAAATAATCTTGAGGGGGACCGGAGCATTAGTCCTTGAGGACAGGGCGTCTGCCTTACACACGGACGACCCAGGTTCAATCCCCAGCATCCCATATAGTCCCCCAAGCACCACCAGGAGTGATTCCTGAGTGCAGAGCCAGGAGTAAGCCCTGAATATCACTAGGTGTGACCCAAAAGCAAACACAAAAATTTGGGGAAAAAAATCTTTGAGAGCTGGAGCAATAGAGCTTCCCTGGCCCGCAGCTGACCTGGGTCCAATCCCCTGCATGCATATGGTCCCAAGCACTGCCAGGAATGGTTCCCAAGTGCAGAGAGGAATAACTCCCGAGCATCACTGGGTGTAGCCCCAAAACAAAACAAAAACCTTGACATATAAAATATCTGTTCCCTTTTACGCAGTCCTGCTGCATACAATTTTATCTAATAAGGAACAAAAATAAAAACATGGGAAACCATAGAATATTCATACCAAAAGGATTTTAACTAGTGCATTTCTATAGAAAAGGCTAAGGCTCCCAAGAGTACTTTTCTAAGGTAATTTGTAAATTACTTCATTTCAGTACTTTATTACACTATTTTGTTACTATTGCCATATTTTGAACAAAAATTCTTATATAGCAACTCCTCCCCACCCCCTTTTCTTTATAATACTCACTCCAAGCCACTAGCAGCAAAGCACTTCAAATGTATAGTTATAACTTCAGGCATTTTGTCAAACAAAAGACTTCGTTCGGCTTCAGTATAATGATGGCAATTTTCACAGAAATATTTATCTTCTCCTACAATCCTCTCCACTGAAGCAAACTGTGATATCGCCCATCTCAAGGTCTTCGTTTCTGTTTTTGGCTCTGGAGAAACTACAGAAGAGAATTCTTGCAATCAGAAAAAACTCAGACATTTAAAGTAAGACTATAAAATTCGATGTTTAAAATTACTGCACACTTCAGTTGACTTCAAATCATGTATTTCTTAGTTTTTTCCCAATAGTGCACACATCTTTTATATATTTCTATTTGATCAGCAGAAAAAGGGAAAAAAAATATGACAGGACAGTAAACACTATTAATCCTATTGGGTCAGTGAGCGAGGCTTTCTATATAATAAACAATTTTAAATATCTGAGAAGTTAAAACTAGTCTCATAATAACTTCCCATGACATTTCCACACTTTCTGAAACTTAAACCAGATAAAACAGTGGCCTAAACATTACAAGTTAAATATGTTAATAAAGTCAATGTCAGTGACTGGTTCCAGTCCCCAAGTTAATATATCAAAGCATTGCACTGTATGTTAAAAAAACATATCCCACTGATCAAAATCAAGATGCCACCAAGTATATACATACTGTTAACAAGCGATATTTTAATAGCAGAAGAATTATGCCAGACATTAGGTTTCCTCAGTAATAATCTTAAGCTAATTATCAGACAATTTTCCTAAAACAAACTACTGTATAGACCACAGAAATCTCCAATTTTGCTTACTTTCAGAACTCTCTTCTACTTTAGAAAGCTCATCTTCTTGTACCGGTACACTGATGTCTTGAAAATCTTCTCTTCTTTCTGTTAAACTTTCACATTCTAAGCAACGAGTTCTTAATACCAGTTGACCTTGAAATAACTTTTCTACTAATTCAAAACCAATTTGCTCTGTTCATTAAAAAAATAAAAAAAGGTAATATATTAAGTCTATAGGTTAGGTCTTTAGTATAAGCATAATTAAAATCCCAGTTAAACTCATTGTATCATGGATTATAGTTGGTTTTCATATCTACATTTATGAAGTATAAGTTCCCTATCTAAAAAAAATCTATCTGAATTATAGTTCTCAAACCCTGAAAATTGTGTCAGTTCCCTGAAAGACACCCCTTATACGTAATTTCCCAATAGGGTTAAACTTGGAAAGTTGGGTTTTTTGGGTTTTTTTTTTTGCTTTTTGAGTCACACCCGGCGATGCACAGGAATTACTCCTGGTAGTGCTCGGGGGACCATATGGGATGCTGGGAATCAAACCTGGGTCGGCCGTGTGCAGGGTAAACAGCCTACCCACTATGCTATCGCTCCAGCCTCATACTTGGAAAGTTTTTAACTATTCCAATATCACGAATTTCTTCTGAACTCTGTAAATCTATACCAGAGTTCCCAAACTTTTAGGAAAAAAACCTCAGTGCATACCCCCTAGAAATCTACCTCTTTTAAGGGAACAAACAGAAAACCTCCCTCTAGCCCTTATTTCACCTGAGGGTACCACCACTATTCTGGATGGTTCCAGTATCCCTTAAGGGTGGCATCGGATTGCCTGTTTTGGAAATGCTCTAGACAAAACTAGGCAGAAATCCTTGTTTTGGGACCGCATCCAGCAGTGCTCAGGGCTTACTCCTGACAGCACAGGGGACCAAATGAGGAGCCAGGGGTGGGACACAGGGCAGCTATATACAAGGCAAGCACCCTACACACTGTAGTACTGCTCCAGCCCCCAGTCGGAAAATAAGCTCAATATGGTATTAACTCTTAGTTCTCTACTTAAAAACTGCACTTCACTAAATATAATTTCTTGGGTTTGAATCAAATACGTAAGGGGAGGGGGGCAAAGACATAGCACAGTGGGCTAAGGCTCTTGCCTTCCACGCGTCAAACCCAGGTTCACTCTCTGGCACCCTGTACAACCCCTGGTGCCACCAGGAATAAGCCCTCCACACCACCAGGTGTGGCCCAAAAACAAAAACATCAAGCAGTAAAAATAGCATTTTCATCTATTAATGCGTCTTCAATTCCCCTCATTTATAAATGAAAAATTAACCTGAGACAGACGTATACACCCAAAATCCACTTAAGCACAGTTAAGCAGCGACCACCACAATAGGCCCGGGAAGCAGTTCGGGAGCCGGCAGGGCGGGGTCCTCTGACAGCCACTGGGAGGGAGCCCCGCACTGGGCTGTCTGCAGTGCTGGCAGGTGTGGTCTCCAACCAAAAACTCTCCCACTCACACTGTTTATTCTCTCTTAAAACTGTGGCCAGGGCTGAGCTGCAGAGCACCCCAAATGCCCCCACAAAGAGCCCCAAGCCCAACACTTAGGCCATAGTTATGCTCTACATGCACCTAACAGGAGAACATTACAATTCTGCAGTTGTGACTTCCAGTTATCGATATCTCAGAATAAATCATACCGACCTTTGTTTATGGGCTTAACTTCATTGGTCTCAGGGTTAACATTATTCCCTGGAGATTCAAGTCCACAACCATTCGCTGTGTTATCATTTTCATATTTGCCCAGGTCCTCTTCATCAAGATCATACTCGCTTTCCTTCGATTGTCCTTTGGATCCTTGGATCGTTGATATTTTCCCCAGACTACAGAATTTAGAAAAAATGCTGGGTTGCTTTGCTGCAGACTTTAACCAATCTAATTTGACTCTTGATTTCTTTTGCGAGGATCTTGCACTCTCATTTTCAGAAACGTACTTGGGGATCACTTTAGGAGGAACCTCTAACATATCACCTGTAGCTTTTCTTTTTGATCTGGTTTGTCTCTGGTTGTCTTCCAATGATTGGTGTTCCTTGGATACTTTAACTTTTTTCTTCGTATTACCAAACTCGGTATCACTTTTTCTCTTCCCATTTACTTTTGGAAGTTTTTCTTTATAGTCTTCAGAATGCCTTACACTGTCCATCTCTATGCTTTTCATGCCACTTAATTCCTCTTTCTGATGTGGTTGTTCCTCGACCTTGGTAGATAATTCTGCCACATTTTTTACTTCTTCTTTTTTTAGGAGTTGGCATGTCTCTTGAATGTTCCCCAAAATACACTGTAATACTTCCTGTGCATCATGCTGGAGATATCCTTCATACATAGGGTTGAGTTCCCTAGAAATGACAATTTCAATTTCATCCACTCAAGTTTAGAGAATAGAAAACAAAGGAAAACTTTTCTCTATCAAAATAATCCGTAAGCCCTTCACAGATACTTTGAAAACTCTACCAGCACTCATTTACCTCATTTGAAACTTATCTGTAATCTCACAAATGAAAGTAAAAATAAAATTCGAGTACTGGTAAGCATATCCAGTATGCTCTCACCTATACAAAGCCTAGGCTGTGCCTTTGAGCTAGTGCAGACACTCATTTTTTTCACCACCATAAGTATTTTGATCTTCTTTTCACAGTAATAGCTAGTACATGCACCAATTTTTGTTCCAACTGCTCTATATAATTCTCACTATAAATAACCCTGAAGTGCGCACTAAATCATCATTTTAACACAATAGGTAACATGCCTTAGGAGCGAAGAGCCAACTAAAATGGGAAGCCAAGACTCAAATTTGCTCCTGGTCACCATACAGTACTGCCTCACAGAAACACAGCAGTGTGGCCTGGGGAGATGGCTCTAGGTTCGATCCTTGGCACATGATCCCAGGTATCAGTATCTGAGCACCCCCAGGCCATACCCCCCAATCAAAGCAATTCATTACACCTAGTTGTATTCCTAAATTAAATGATACGTTTTAAAGACCTTAATTCTTTGGTCTAGAAGGTTTATGTATTTCCTTTTTTTAGACACTACAAATTAATTAAAATAATTTTCCTCTACACATACACATTAACATAATATTTGAAATTTATTCTTCTGCTTAATATTTTAGATATAAGTCTACAATTCATAAGCTCAGCCCCTTATGATCCAAATGAACGAAAATTCAGAAATTTTCCAATTCAAAATTATATGGCACAAGTAAAATACTGGCAACACGCCATAACTAAACACATTACTATTTTCTATTGAAAAATGTGGTGGGGCCCACCAAGCACCAGTAAGAGTGACGTTTGAGTGCACAGCCTCAAGTAAGCCCTGAGCACCGCTGGTGTGGCCCAAATCGTAAATGACTCTCGGAGCATGAGATAAGAGGACCCGCAGATTCCATCATTTCCTTGTCGTGTGTCCACTTATCACCAGCCTCTAAAGAAACAGCTGGACCGATACCCTCAATTTCATCAGAGGCTCTACCTGAGTGTGTTGAGCAGTCGTCGTGGCTGAGTAGCAAGTTCATCAGTGTATTTCTCTGGATTTAAAAGAAAGCTAGCCTGAAGCTGTTCAACTGAAATGATCAAGGACTGTAAGCTGCAAATAAGTTCATAACTTGCCAAAGAATCTTCTTTGCAATTTCCCTGTCAAAAAATAAACACAAACCCCCATATAGATATATATAAATGTAAGTAAATATATATAAATATATATGAATTTTCATATATAAACAAATCAAGGGCAGTTCCCCTCCCTATCTTTGTCTCATAGGACACTACTAGCTTTTCTAAATTAATCTCACAAAATCACTATTTTATAGGGGTAAAATTAAAATATAGGAATATTTTTGCTAACTTTGTATATGGATCGATTTTCTACTCCTTTTGTGACATTCGCTTAAATTTTAAAACTGAGTCAATATAAAATCAACAGATAGTAACGGGTGATAACTGTGTGGATGGCATATAAATGTTTATTAGTAAATAGCAGAGACACCCAATAAAGATATAGTTAGCTATCCCGTAAGAACAAAAAAAATCACTGCCTTTCTGCTATTAAGATACTGAGCAATTCAATTCCCAGTAGCAGCTTATTAAGAGAAATAAACTATATCCCAAGCCCTCTGTACATCAATGACTTTTTTATTTCTAACAAGGGGAATTTCCAAGTATTTTTTTATATTACATTATAACTTTTTACCTTCTCTTTTTGACTGGCTTCATCTTTCAGGGCGTCTTTCTTCCTTGAGATAATATTAAATAAGTGCTTCACTCCAGATTTAAAACCAGGACAAAAATATAATACCTACAAAATGGGATTGTCAGAGTGTTTACTGAAGAAAAGCAATACACCTATAATCACTGACATATAATCATGCTTTTTATAGGACACCTTTAAATGTGCATCACTTAAAACCTGAAATTCTAAGAATTGTGCCCAAAAAACTATTTCTTACTCCAACCAATAGCCCACTGTTGATCTTCCTTTACTGGTAGCAGAGCACTGAGCTGGAAGAGCTGTTAAGAATTACGGCTCTAGGATACAATACAGAAAACATCCAGAAATGGGGGACGGAGGGAGCACTGAAAAACTAGAGGATCTTGGCATCTTTCCAGTTAAACAAAGTCCACTCCATTTGTGATCCCAATTTCATTTACTGCATCACTTTTTTATCTCTTACGGAGGTGAGTAACATTCATTATCTGCCGCACTATCCACATATTCACAACCAAAAACAAAGTAATTCAAGTAATTCATCATGGGAATGAATTACTATCTCCCCATGATGTGAAAGCCCCAAACATTAAATATTACATAATTATATGCTTACTCAGGTCTTACTACATAGAATTATTGATTTACCTGAAGTATACTATTAAGATAACAAGTGTTGCCAAGATTATTCAGTCCCACAAACGGTAACAGATGTTCTCTCTTCTCACAGTTTATAGGCGAGGACTGTGCCGCTGCAGGAACAACTTGGTCACTAACACACAGGGGAGAAAGTACAATGAAACAGCGTCTTAGAACTAAGGGAAAATTTATTACTTCCCTAGGTTAGGCTCTTCTCAGAGGTAGTGTAATGGGTTGGGCTGGACTGATGGTATAGCAGGTCGGACGTCTGCTCACAGGTGACCCCCAGGTTTGATCCCCGGCATCCCACAAGGTCCCTCGAGCGCCACAGGGTATGGAGTAATCCCTAAGCATCACCAGGTGTGGCCAAAAAAAAATAAATAAATAAAGTTGTATGATGGGGAAATTATGTATTCTATCCGTTTTTTTAAAAAAAAAAATATAGAAGCGCTCCGAGCAATACAGGGGGGCTGTAGACGCTTGCCATCAGAGTCAAAACCGGAGGTGCCAGGGACAACTCAGGGCCATGGGCATGCCAGGCATAGGACCCGTAGCACTCAGACTATTGTGAGGAGAAATCTATGCTACAGGTTCAAAGGCTGCTATACATCTATCAAGAACGGAAGTCAAATAAATATTTTAAAACACCAGTACAGAGCAGGAGGGACAGTACGGGGTGTTTGGGCTTGTCTTGCATGCAGCTGACCCCATTTCAATCCCCTGCGCAATCTGTAGTCCCCTCCCCCAACACCAGGAGTAAGCCCTGAGCACAGTCTGGTGTGGGAGAAGAGGGGGGAGGGAGATAGAGAGTGGAAAGGGAGAGAAGGAAAAGGGAAAGGAAGGAAGGGGGGGAGAGAAAGAAAATGGTTAATAAAAGACTGAGAAGGCTCCAGGATGACGGCTCTGATAAACCACTTGCCACAAAGTGTGAACCTGATTTACCTGAAGTATACTATTAAGATAACAAGTGTTGCCGAGATTCAATCTCAAACTAAAAGGAAATGATCCATGAAGAGATTTAAGCAGTTGTCCCTTCACTTAAAATCCAATTTTCAGGGCCAGGGAGATACCTCAAAGGGGTGGAGCGCATGCTTTGATGCGGAAGTCCTGGATTCATGTCCTGGCCCATGAACTCACCCACCAGAGAACAGCAACCTGCCCACACCCCACTTCGTCCCCAACCCGACACTAAGTCCGGAAGAGTCCCCGAGCACCACTGGGCACGGTCCACAATCCAGCATCGGTGAGGAGTGGAGGAGCTCAGTGATGGAGTTAAAGCCCTGGGTCCAATCCTGCCACACATGCAAAATAATTTCGTTTATGACTCTTTTATCTCACTTTAACGAATGGTGGGCTTTCCTGACATTTTCACTTACTTTACACCTACTAGCTATTACTCCAATCCCACAAAGCGTCTTTGAGCATAAACACAAGCAAAAGGTTCACACACTACCTTCCAAAAGGACTACCGGTAAGTACTCAAAAATCACACACGGGACCAAACCCACTTTAGGTTCTGATACAGCAGAGTACCCACCTCTCTTTTATAACAAGGAGTTAGATGTAGGCCCTCAAATAGCGCAAATATTGGTGAAATAAAGCATTCCATTCTGTTCTGATTTTTCAGTCACTTTTTGTTTGCATTTAAAGTTTTTAATTATAAATTATATGCACAAAACAATTTCGCAGTTTGCAAAAGAATAACAATTTCAACCTGAGGTAAATATTAACTACCCATTTCTTTACCCTTAAAAAAAAAAATTGTCCTTCACAAGTTCATTTTTTTTTGTCTTGGGGCTACACCCAGCAGTGCTCAGGGTTTGCCCCAGGCTCTGCTCTAAGGAATCACTCCTGGTGGGGCTTGAGAGACCAGGTGGGGTGCTGGGGAATGAATCTGGCCTGACAGTGCAAGGCAAGCACCTAACCCCGCTGTAGTATCTCTCCATCCCCACCTCCCCCAAACTGGTTTAAATTGAAAAAATAATTTTAATCGGTATTTCACGGAGTTAGGCTGAGCACAGCATCGATGGATTGGACAGTGCATGTGATCCCTGGTGGGGAGCACCAGCTCTCTTCTCCCCATGAGAGACTACTCTCGCTGTTGCAAGGTTTTTGCTTTATTTTGCTCTTATTTTGCTTACCTCTACAGACTATCAGGTCAGAATATAATACTTAAAATACACACATTTCATACACGCAGGCTGGGCGCATGCAGGAGGCCAGGAGCACCACCAGGCATGACTGAGAACTGTACTGGGAGTAGCCCTTGACACTACAGGGTGTGGCCCAGAATAAAACTAAATACATACATTTCAGACCCTCTATATTCTGAAGCCTTTTCTTCATTTTCTTGAGAATCTGTGAACTCCAAGGCCCTCTTAGTTTCCTTTTTCTGAAAAAACTTCAAGGAAAGTCGGTTTTTCTTTGACGGACTACCTCTTGCAAGTCCATTATTTTCACTAGGTATAACACCAGGCATTTTCACTTCAAATCCCAAGGAGGAGTCAAGAATTTACACAGGGACCTTTTAATCACCAATCATATCTGTTAATCAGAGATAAAGGTATCATTAGTGTTATCAGTTATAGACAGCAAAAACCCTGAAAATAAATTTACCAAGGAATAGTACTAATAAAAACTTTCTACTTGAAAATCTAATGCTTGGCAATCTTAAAGCGCTTATCATTTATCCTTAATTTTCTTAAACAACAAAAAAAGATCAGATGCTTAAGTGATTATCAAACAGCAGTTAGAGACTATTAAGGGTCACAAAACAACCCACTTTAGTCGACCTAGCAAAAGGCAGCAAGGGAGCAAAAAAGCTTAGCTTCTTCATTCATTCAACAATATCAGCTGAACTACCCAATTTCTAATTCTAAAGTAGGAAAGGGAAACGGAAATAAATGGGAAACCCACAGTGCCCAGGGAAGGAGTCCTCCATCCAAGGGCTCTTCCATGCAGACAAGAAATAAAGTCCTTTAAATCTTACTTCAAGGAAATTAGCATACAAGAAGACAAGATGAACCAAAATAAAAACAAGAGTGGTATAAAATAGTGCTGCACTGAGTGCATCTAAGAAAGCCACAGTGTCTTCTCAGGTTTAGGGACCTCGTTGGGTGTTTTTCAAAAGACGATCATTTGCCACCTTTCCTTGTAAAACTTTTGAAATGTGTGTGGGGGGTGGGGGGGGGGAGCCCGGCGACGTGAGCTGTGGTCCTATTTACGCAACCCTCCGCCCTCTCGTCCCGCTATGGGGGAAACAACCAGGAATCACCCAAGAGTGCCCCAAGTCCGCACAGCCGGCTGCGACCCAAGGCGGGGCAAAGGCGGCCGCAGGGACAAATCCACTCCAAGGACGCCACCCCGCCCGCCCCGGGCTCCTCCCTCGGGGAACCCGCCTCACTCCCGGCACCAGCAGTAGGAGGCAAGAATGCATCTTTTTTGGTTTTTTTGGAAACGGGAAGAATTACTAGAAAGCGAGCGGACCGACTTCCACCTCCCCTCCCCAAGAGCCACCGAGGAAATAAAAAGTTATGAATGGAAAAACCAGGCCACGCCCCGCCGCGGGCGGAGGTGGCGAAGGCATCAGGGACCCTCATACTTCCAGGTGGGGGGGAAGGTGCTGTGATGTGATGTGTGTGTGTGTGTGTGTGTGTGTGTGTGTGTGTGAAGGTGTTTGGGTGTGGGTGTGTGTGTGTGTCCCCGTTCTTTCTTTTCTGTTCAGAAACTAATTCCCAGCCTGGAAAAGTGACCAAGTCACTTGGGTAAACCAGGGGGGCGCGGAGGGCGCGTGTGTGTGGGTGTGTAAAAGGTGTGTCTGTGTGTGTGTGTGTGTGTGTGTGTGTGTTTTCTCTTTTTTTCTTTTTCCGGAAACTAATTCCCAGGCTGAAAAAGTGACCAAGTCATTCGGGTAAACCAGCGGGGGCGTGCGTGTGCGTGAGTGCGTGAGTGTGTGTGTATGTGTGTGTGTGTGCGTGTGGGTGGGGGGCGGCGGGGCAAGGCCGAGCAGCTGGAATAACGGACCCCCCCACCCCACACTACCACCACCAGCCCCGGGCACCGAGACGCCCATCCTGCCCGGGGCAGCCGCGACTTAACGGGACGGCGACGCTAGGGCTCGGCGGGGCTCGGCGGGCCCTGCGCCCCGGGCTCCTCGCTCCCGCGCCCCCCGACCCGACGGGGCTGGGGGCTGCCATCCAACGCGCGGCTCGGCGGCGGCTGCCCCCCACGCCACCCGCGCGCGGGCCCCGCGCCCCCCGCCCCCCACCCCCCGCCCCGAGGCCGCGGCCGCGCGCCACCCCCGCCCGCCCGGGTGACAGCGCGGCCGCCCGGGAAATTAAAAAGGGAAGAGGAAAAAAAAAAAAACAAAAACGGGGGCGGGATTAAAAAAATAAATAAATAAATAGTAAATCAATCCATCAAACCCGAGAAGCCAACTTCCCGGCGTGGAGGGGCGCCCCACTCCCCGCGCTCCCGACAAAGGTCTCAAGACACGTGGCGTTCCAAAGACTCCGAGGGGAAAAAACACGCACACGCGCGCGCACACACACACACACACACACACACACAACACAAGGGAAAAGTTCAAGTGCGCGGTGCACCCGCGTCCTCGGGGCTGTGGGGGGGACCGACCCCGCCGGGCTGCCGGCTCGGCACCCCTCGGGGCCCCGGGACGCACCGGGCCGCCCGTCCGCACCTGCCGCCGAGAGGGGCTCGGGGGGGTGCCCCGCGCGACCCCCCAGGACCCCCCACCCCCCCACACCGTTACCTGCTCATGGCCCGAAGCGAGGTCCGCGGAGGCGTCGCCGGCGAGTCCAGTCGGGGCGAGAGGGGGCGGCCACAGGTGAGCCCCCCCACCACACACACACGCACGCACCTGGCCCGGGCCGGCGGGGACGCCCCCCGCGCACACACACACACGACACACACACGCGCGCGCGCGCAGCCCCCGCGCGCACGCACAGCCCGACCCCCCGAGGAGCGCGGCTGGCTGGGCTGGCCCTGCCCCGCGGGGGAGTGACCATTCGCTCTCGGGAGCGGGAAGCCGGGCGCCGCCGCTGCCGCCGCCGCCGCCGCCCACTACATCCCCGGGGCCGGCGCCCACCCGCGCGCCCGCGCCCGCGCCCGCGCCCGCGCCGGGAGGCCGAGGAGCGCCCCAAGCCGGCCGGCTCGCGCAGCGCCCGGACCGCCGGGGTCTGCCCGGCTCTCGGCCACCGACGGGAACTTGGCGCGTTTTCCTCCGTCTCAGGACCCCCCGGCGGAGCGCCTCCGCCCGCGCCAGCGCCGCCACGGGAAGTGGCGCCCGGCGCGAACGCCGGCGCCGGGGCCCCGCGCTGCAGGCGCGCCGGGGAGCCGGCGCCGCCGCGCGCCCGCCGCGCGCCCACCCTCCCGGCCCGCCCGGCCGCCGGAGCCCCCCGAACGGGGCCTCCCCCCGGAGCCTAACGGGTTCCGCACTTTCAAACAGCGCAGGCATCGTCGCGGGCAGCCCGCGCGGGTCCTCGCCCAGGGCGCGCGCGCTGGGAGGGGGGGTGGACCGGAGGCCTGGATGGCGCGCTCGAGCCTCACACCCTTTTTTTTTTCTTTTTTTTAACCATTGGTCCGCGCGAGTTAAGGGAACCGCGTACGGGTCGGGAGACGGGACAGAGAGAAGCTAGGACGGGCCTTTTCTTTATTTTTCTTTATTTTTTTTTTCCTCCCCAGCCGCCGGTGCTCAAATCTACCAATCCGCGAGGAGCAAGAGCCCCCAATTGCGCCCCGCCCTCCCCTCCGGGGAGGACCCAATCAGAAGTACCTAAACAAAAAAAAAGCCAATTGGGTGGGCGGGACGAGAGGCAGCCGGGCCAATAGCAAGAAGAAGAGCGGAGGGCTCCAGCCAATCGCGGCTGAGCATACAGACTGCCACTACGGTTTCCTCCACCCCCCACCCCCGCTCTGATTGGCGCTCGCGTGCGCGCTTTCTCCGGCGACTGTTAAATTTCAGCTGCGTTTTGTTAATCCCCCCAGGACGGCGGGAGGGCGGGGAGGTGGGAAGGTGCAGCTTCCGGAGGTGGGGAGAAGCCAGAAGCCCCGCCTGCCTTCTGGCGTGGGTGCATGAGCGGGCGGAGCTCGGGGAAACTCCTCTAGGGTGCGGGGTGGGGGGGAAAGTGGCTGTTGCTGGATGCATCCTCCGTGCTGGGGTGTTTGGGGTTTTTTTTATTATTTCTAAATATCCATTCCGAGTCGCGGCTGTAGTCCCCGGGGTAACTGTCAGTTCTTTAGCCGAGAACCTGGAGCCGAGGCGCCTTCCTCGCCCCCTCCGGGACTCGGCTCCAGGCCCCCACCCCCACCCCCTCTCCCTTTCCTGCGGGACAAGGACGCGGGAGCGTATTTGGGGGGCCTCGCTCGGCCGTCGCCGGGGGGCTCGGGAACGGCCAGGCTGCCTCGCCTGCTGTTGTTGCTCCGGGCAGCGTGTGTATTGCCCGGTGAGAAAGCAGAAGCCGCGATCAGGTTGGGGCGGAACCCGCCCTTGATGTTGGTGCATGTGTGTTTTTCCGAGAGCCGCCTGCTAGGGTGCCGGGTGCTTTCCGGCTCGCCAGGTAGTCCACCACCCAAAGGACCTTCCTCTGCTCTGCTCGGAGGGGGCCGAAGTGAAGCAGAATTGACGACGAATCGTGTGGGCGATGAGAAGAGGCGAGGGTCCGGTTTGGGATCGGAGAATCCGGAAAGTCCACCTTTCCGTTAGCATCTGAGCGGAGCTGAGCCGGCCAAGAGAGCCTAAGGGGATGAAGAAGGGTCCAGGGGAGGCGAAAAGCACCGTGATAGGTTAGGGATAGGGACTTAGTTACACCGGGAGGGCTCTGATGAAGCCGGCCAAGGCAATCGCAAGCCTTGCTGAGTGGCATGATTTGTAAAGTGGCTGCTGGTCGTGGATGACCGTTGGCTTTCTTTCTTTCTTTCTTTCTTTCTTTCTTTTTTTTTTTTTTTTTTTTTTTTGCTTTTTGGGTCACACCCAGCAATGCTCAGGGGTTACTCCTGGCTCTGCACTCAGGAATTACTCCTGGGGGACCATATGGGATGCGGGGGGATCGAACCTAGTTTCGGCCGTGTGCAAGGCAAACTGCCCTACCCGCTGTACTATCGCTCTGGCCCCAACTGTTGGCTTTCAAAAAGAAACCAGGCATGTGGCTTGTGGTAAAGTGCATATCTTGCATACATGAGCCCCAGGTTCTGTCTCAGGTGCCACACACACCAAGCAGAAAAGTTCATGCTGTTTCAAGGAGCTAGGAGAAACACCCCGTATGGGGCTTGGACTAAGGCAGTTGCAGTGGGACTACTGAGAGCTGACAAAATGAAGCATCCGTTTTGAAGCAGAACAAAGAGGACCTGCTAATGAATTAATAAGGAAGATAGAGCCCAAGATTCTTTTTATTTTTTTCCCTTTAATGCTGTTGTCTCCCCATCAGTGCATCAAGGACCTTTAAGACAGAACTTGTCTCTCCCTCTGAGACAAGCTGAGCTTTCTGAGACTGTTGTTACCTCCTCACGAGTTGTATTGTACACTTTTGGTAATGCCGTCATGTCAGATGGCTTTACACTATGTCGCTTGATCGGTGGCCTCGACACTGCATCCTCAACTTCCTTGTCTGTTCAAGTAGAGAAGAATTCTTTTGTGGACTTATCACAAAATGTTCCATCCATTTTTCACTTCCGTGTGTTTGCCACTTTGCACAACTTCGGAAATTGTGCTCGCATGAGTCCTTCACGGCGCCTCAGCTTCAAAGCCTTCAGATACCGAAAATTCTCTTCTCCACGTTCCTTCTTCAAGGCCTTCTCAAACTCAAGAAATAATTCGATCTCAGTTGCTACTCCAGGTAGCACTGCACCATGAGATAGTCCTTGGTTGATAAAGGCTTTCATTGCTGTGTATGGGGTCACTTCAGCATAGGTCGCAACCAACCTGACCTGCGCAACCATTGCTCTTCCATTGAGGTTCGGTCGGTGCTCAAGTTCTAAAATGCTTCTTCCAACAAAGGCATCGTATCCCGCAAATATCACCCATAATGCAGCCTCTCTGAAGTCAAATGCCGGATTAATCTCGAGGACTGGTTGTTGAAGGCCTTGTTTCACAGCAGCATACATTGCATTGAATCTTCTCGTAATTTGAGTCAGAGGATTTTGTTGTGGCTTTCTTATTAAGTGATAAAGAAATGCAATCGCTGACTTTAATATGTCCTTCAGGAGCCCATTCAAGCCCATTGCCTTCATTGTTTTCAACTCTACGCATTGATGTAATATATGACGTGAGAAGGTGATCCATCCAGAGTATTTAGCGCTGGAAAGGCTGCCAACAAAAAGTTAGTTGCTATAGCAACGTTTTCACCATTTTCTCCGTTAGTCGAAGGGCGACTGCAGCTGCTGGAAGAACTTGATTCTGTGGTGGCAAAGCAGAATTGCCTTAGCAGTGACATCTTTAATCTGTAAAGTTAGTTCCATTGTGTCCACAAGATTCTTTTTAAATGTTGAGAGGGACCACACACCTCCAGTTCTGATTTTGTCTTTCGGTCTGGGTACCAACCCAAGGACTTCAGGCGTGCATGGCATGTGCTCTATGCCTCGAGTCACATCCCAGGGCAGCAGGATTTTTTTTTTTCTTTTTAGTTTTAGGACCACAATCGCAGTGTTCAGGGTTTAGTCCTGGCTCTGCACTCAGGTATCACTCCTGCGCAGGGTTGGTAGGAGGGAGGGGGAAGTGGGAACTCATGCAATGCGAGGGATCAAACCTGGTCAGCCGTGAGCAAGGTGCATGCCCTCGGCACCATCTCTCGGCTTATTATCTATTGCAGCTGGACAGTGGTGGTGCTTGCTGAATTGGGAAACTCTGGAGCAACTGTAGGTTTTGTGTAAAGGGCCATTGTTGTTAGGATGGAAGACCAGGGTGCCTGCTTTTATGTACTAACTGGTGCAGCCAGCAGTCACCAAGTTTGGAGCTCAGGTGAATTTTAGACAAGGGAGACACCAAGTGGTCCCTAAAACCAGAGGACCGGAAGAAATCACCTAGAGTGGCAACAGTTATACTAAAAGGTCTGTAAGGTAGGGCTGGGTGTAGAGCTCACTGGTCAAAACCTTGAGTTTCCTTCCTGTGCCACCTTACATCATACTACAGCAGGGGTTTTTTTGGTGGGGGGCGGGAGGGGAGAAATCCTCTCCCACCAACTCCCACTTTCAGTATCTCAACCAAGTTAACATTAGACCCAGATCGTAACCAACAACAAAGGGAAGAGAGAAGAAAATCTGTTGGGTATTTATAAGCCTTCCTTTTACCAAGCCCCAAATCCTTAGAACCGCCTCTTGTTACCCACCCTGGCTCAATGTTCATCCCAAATACCTGGTTTTAAGAGTGAGACTTTCTCTGGAGGGGGCTGTGATATCGAAACGTTGTACTCATGAAACACTACCATAGATAGTACTATAAGTCATAGTGCCTAAAAATGTTTTTTTTAAAAGAAAAAATAAGAGAGACTTCAGGGGTCAGAGAGAGAGAGAGTACAGGACGTAAGGTGGCAACCCAGATTGAACCTGGCACCACATGTGTTTCCCCAGAACTGCCAGGCCCCTACACCCCTTTTTTAAAAATGAGGCTTTCAGGCAGCAGAGATGGCCCAGAGGGCTGGGAGAGTCGCCTGCTTGCAGAGACCCTGAGCTCTGGCCCTGGCACCATAGGTTCCCCCAGGCAATACCATATTTCTGTCCTGAGCATTGAATCTTGAGGCCTGATCAGCTGACAGTATCTGAGGGAGGTCCCAGGAAGAGAGGGGAGCAGGTGGCGGGGGGAGGAAGGCAGGCAGGACTGGGCACTGCTTAAGGAGCACAGTATTCTCTCAGTTGCTTCAAGAAAAGGGATGCTACAAATCACCTGGTAAAATG